GTTGGCACTCTGTCTTGAGTTCAGAAGGCTTTGAAGGGATAGGGATAAACCTTCCTGGAAACTGAAGGGCACTCAGGAAGGGTCTGGATATAGATGTGAGAATGGAAGTGGGAGGGATAAGGAGAGGCAAGACATGATGCCTTCCTGTCTGCAGACCTCCCGCTTCCTCTGTGGAGTAGGAGGTCAGAGCATCTGATGACAGCATTGGGGGAGGGGAGGCACGATGGGCACCTTGCAGAGCACTCTGAAACATGAACAGAGCCACCGTGGTGAGAGAGCTGACCGTGAGCACACAGGTGACACACTGCTGTGGGTGGAATTTCTGCTGGGTGCTGGAGGCAGTGATGTTGCTGTGGTCACCACCCTGTGGCTGAAGGACTTTTCAGCACCCAGGTGCAGGGTGGTGTGGGTGGATGTCTGGCCTGCTCTAGGGCTGCAGTGGTGCTGGCTGGGTGTGGCAGAAGAACAAGGATGAAGGTATTATATTTGCAAGTGAGTGGTATGTTGAGAGGATTCACCTTGGGGGCTGAAAGCAAAGCCAGGAAGGGGCTGATGAAGTGAGAGAAATCGGAGGGGTTGGCAGCTGGGATTCTTTATGAGGCAGAAAGCAGGTGGCATTCAGGCACGAGGGTGGGAAGGATGGTAGGGATGGCAGTGCAGGACCGGAGGATGACCGGAGGCTGAGCTCGGTGATGCCGAGACGCAATTTTTGTGGAATGAAACACAAACAGACATTGTTCAAAATAAACAATGACATCCGTCTCCAGTTCATCCAAGCCTATAATTTGATACCTGGCTGCAGGATAGGGTAACCGCAGGCAGGGATTCAACTCTATTGACCCTGTGACCTAGTTGACATTGGATCATACTGACAGCTAATTGGTTGTGCTACCTAATTAGAGCAAGTTTGTCATCTCGGCACTGCACACAATAGCAAGGCTTGGAACCAATCCAAATGTCCATCAGTGGTAGATTGGATAAAGAATATGTGGCACATATACATCATGGAATACTATGTAGCTGTAAAAGGATGAGTTCACGCCCTTTGCAGGGACATGGATGAAGCTGGAAACCATCATCCATTCTTAGCAAACTGACACAAGAACAGAAAACCAAACACCACATGTTCTCACTCATAAGTGGGTGTTGTACAATGAGAACACATGGACACAGGGAGGGGAACACCACACACCAGGGGAACATCACACACCAGGGGATAGAGGAGGGATAGGAGGGAATGAGGGGATTGGGGAGGGATAATATTAGGAGAAATACCTAATATAAATGATTGGGGGATCAATGCAGCAAACCACCATGGCATGTGTATACCTATGTAATAATCCTACATGAGCTGCACATGTACCCCAGAACTTAAAGTATAATTTAAAAAATTGCTGTATATCTCTATATCTACATAGATATATGTAATTTATTAAAAATATGAAGTAATGGCTAAAAATAGTGTATAGGAGAGAGAAACACCAAATTTGGGAGAGTATTTACTTGGAGGGAGAGATAGGAGAAGACTTCCCTGAAATGGAACTACTTTGTAAGTAAGAGTGGCAGGATTTTAGAATTCTTTGAAAAATCAGTAGTAGGCTGATTTTTCAGCATGGCTGTTCTTCATGCTATTTTATATACTTTTTGTATGCACAAAATATTTTATAATAAAAATGTAAAAGTATTAAAAAGAAGTCTAAAGAATATTAGTTAAAGGAGCATCCTAGAAAAATCGAGAGGTAAAATAGAGTAATTCTTTCTGCAAGCTGCCTAAGTATGAAAGGCACTGTGTACAGGGGACAAAAAGGTAACAACAGAGACATAGCATCTCTTCCCCTCACCTCCCAGTCTCTGGAAGGCCTGTGATTTCCCTGCTGGGGCTTTCCTATGGGTATTTCCTGCTCTTGGACAGACTTTTCTTTGATGAAATCCTTCAAACCCCATCTTCCACAAAAACCACCAGTATCGCTATGATGCTGTGTTGTCATCTGTCCGTCCACCTGTGGGTCACTACCCCCTTGTTATTGAAGATTTGAGCTCTTAGGTCACTGCCCCTCTCTCTGTCATCCACAGAGATGGTCTTCTTTGACCCTGGTCTCTTTCCTTGCACTTCTTTCCTCCAATGACTGTATCTTGCTTGGATATTGCAGTAGCCTCCTGACTGATCCCCCTTCTCTGGCATCATTCCCTACCTCATCAATTCTTAACAGTAGCCAGCCAGAGACATCCTTTTAAAACATTGGGTCATGTCCCCTCTCTGCTCCAAGTCCCCAAGTGACTCCCACTCAGTGGAAAAGCCAAGCTACCCTCATTGCCTTCAAAGCACTACATTATTTGGCTCCTGGTATCTCCTCTCCTGCTGCCTTCCTGCTCAGCACTTTGGGTTCCTGGATGCTCCTGGAACCTGCTAGGCATGCTCCTGCCTAATTTGTACCTACTGCTCCCTCTGCCTAGACCTTTTCACTCTAGATATCTCTGTGGCTTGTTTCTTCTCTCACCTCCTGATATGGTTTGGCTGTGTCCTCACCCAAATCTTACCCTGAATTGTAGTACCCATAATCCCCATGTGTCGTAGGAGGGAACAGGTGGGAAGTAATTTAATCATGGGGGTGGTTACCCTCATGCTGTTCTCCTGATAGTGAGCGAGTTCTCATGAGATTTGATGGTTTTATAAGGGGCTTTCCCTAGTTTTGCTTGACACCCTTCTCCTTCCTGCCATCATGTGAAGAAGGATATTTTTCCCTCCCCCTCCACCCTGATTGTAAGTTTCCTGAGGCCTCCCCAGCCATGCTGAACTGTGAGTTAATGAAACCTTTTTTTTTTTTTTTTTTAAATAAATTGCCTAGTCTCAGGTATGTCTTTATTAGGAGTGTGAGAATGAACTAACATACCTCCTTTAGGTCTTTGCTCTCCAGTTGTCACATTTGTCATGAGGTCTTCCTTGACCACTTTATTTAAAACTGCTCTCCCCATACACAATGCTTTCTATCTCTCTTTCAGCTTATTTTTTTCTCTAGTATGTACCACCCTCTAATATGCTATGTAATTAATTTCTTTATTTTGTTTATAGCCTGTCTCCCTTCACTGGAATGTAATCTCCATTAGGACAGGGGTTTTCATATGTTTTATTGCTTTAATACAAGTGCCTGGAACAGTGCCTCTCACAGAGAAGATTGTTGGGGGAAATAGCAATGGAGGAAGGGTTTACAGTGAGCCTACATAAACTGGTTAGAAGTAATGTATTAAAGAAATCAGGAACAATAAACTGTGGAAGGCAGCAGGAGGCCTCTGGGGATGAAGGCCTCTCTATGCCAGCATGTTCCCATGTACAGTGACTCAAGCTCTTACATTTTAAACATAACGCTCAAGGACGTAACACTCCTTTGAAGGGCTGGAATGTAGCCAGACATGTTGGCTCCTTGTTAAGTCTTTTCCCACCAGCTGTAGAGAATTACCTGCTTTTAGCTCTTAGAAAACTCACATAAACTGTCACTGCTATTATAATCTTATGTTTGATGCACAGCTTTCCTTTCACCGGTTCACCCTAACATCTGCACTATAGATCAAAGTGATTGTATTTAATAAATACTGTGGAAAACCAGAGCTCGGGGCCTTTGCAGCCTCCATTTTGCAATGGCGCCCTGGTCCCACTTTACACACTCTTAACCCGTCTTTGTCTCATTGCTTTGTCAACACTGAACTCGGGGTACCCATGGGTAGTGTGTCAGGCTAGCACCCTATAAAGATGCAATTAAATACTTGCAGAAAGACTTGGACTTGCTAGAGGCTATTCCACTGTCCCCCTCCCCTCTTCAACCATCTGTGGCTACCTCCCTTGAAGCATCTTCCAGTTCCCATGGCCACTGCCCACACATGATTTCTGCCAGTATCTAAGCTGTTCTTGTGTTCTGGGGTCCTGGGACAATAACTGGACTCCAGGTTGGGGTCATCAATAAGCCTTTCTTTCCATAGCACAGGAGTGTGTCATCTCTGATTCTTCCTTTCTCCTGGCTGTCTAGTTAAAATGCATTTCAGAGAGTGAAATAAGATTAGTAATTACATTGGTCAAGCAGGCTAAATTGCTATAACAAGCAGATCCAAACTAATTATGGCTGAAACATAACAGTAGCTTACTTAGACCTCTAGTCTAAGTAGGTGTTCATGTCTGCAGATGGCTCTCCTCCATGTGGTGACTCAGGGATCCAGTTTGATAGCAGCCTTGCCATCTTCAGCATGTGACCTCTACATTTGTCCAGCTATCGTCATTCCAGTTGTCACATAACTGCAAAGGAGGCTGAGGAGAATGGATTTTGGTGGACAAATAGTTGCCTCCACACAGTAATAATATTTATCATCTTCATCATTATGGTCTTAGTAGGAGGCATATGTCTCAGTTGATAAACTCATGTATGCAAGAAATGTAACTTTGTTTTTTCTAAAATCTAACTTCTATTTTCAGTCTCAGCCTGTTAAGATGGCAGAATTTTAATTTTAGTCACTTTAAACATCCCTGTTCCCCGCTTTTCCTGGGGAGGGAGTTTAAGAGTAGTGTAGGGAGAAGTGCATAGTTCCTGATGTCATCTGCTCACACCACTACCCATAGAGATGGCTATCATCTGGAGTAGGCTTTGAGCATCAGGATGCTGCAGAAGTGTCCCTAGATCCCAGCTGTATGGCTCTTCCAGGCCTGGAGTGGCTCTCTATGACTTCTCTGTCTCTCTTGTGGATACAGGAATCATTAGGTTGCTCTCATGCCATGACAGCAACTCTTCAAGGGTGTGTGAGGCTACATTTGGCAAGGCATCCCATGCAACTATTCTTACCTGGGCTCTAGCTTTTCTTGGAGCTCTCAGTCCAGCTCTTGGATCCCACAACTCCATCTGGGAATTCTATTGCCTTCCCGGGGCTCAACTTTGCAGCAGGAAACAAGGTTGCTCTCTTTGGGACCCATCAGCATTTTCGTAACCTGGCCTTTTTCTTTATCTCTTTCATCTCTCCAGGATGGAGATTTTTTCCTAGTACGACAGGAGGGTAATTCTTGCTCTGGCTCACTTCTTATCTACACTGTGAATTCTTTCTCTTTCTCTGAGGGCCTGGGTCTTGGGAACTTAAAACTGAAAGGAGAGGCCCCTTTCCTCTGCATTTGACTGTCACATTCTCTTCACTGAGTAGAGAATAACATGGTCACTAGTGAGAGGAATGACCAAGGGGCATCGCATGGGGGAGGAAATGGCTTTTATTATCAATGGTCTCCCATCAAAAATGGGAGAATTGTGAAATATTTAAAAATCACAATTTTACCATTTGATAATACTAATGACAACAATAATGATGTAATTTACATCTATTGAGCATTTAGTGCATGCCAGATCCTCTCCTAAGTGCTCTGTACATACAGTATCTCTATTAATTGTCACAACAAATCTATGTGTATTTAATATTAGTCGTATTTTCTATCAGAGCAGTCGAAGTTCAGCAAGGTAAAGGGACTTAAGTGTGTCAGGGTCTCACAGTTTGCAAACAATGGATCTGGGCCTCAGAGGCTAGCCTGCACCTAAAGTCTAGGCTCAACCACTGCAGCTCCTGGCCTCTTGGCAATATCCCTGGAGCCTCAGGACACCAAATGGGGAATCATTCTATTCTTTCACACTCCTTATCAGGCAGGAGTGGGGCTGGCCTTCCTGATTCCCTGCCCAGAAGAGGTGGGTTGTCCCTAGGGTGCTCCCACTGCCAGCCTCTTTCTCAGAACCTGGTTGCCCTCTCTGTTTCTGCTGTGGCTTATCTCATCTCCCTGCAGGTTTCCAACCTCTCTCTCTCTTTCATGGTTGGGCTTTACAAATAAAATATAAATTTAGCTAAGAGCTCATACCACAAAAAGGGAAGAAGTGGTAAGTACAGGCAGCAAACAGAGCCCAAGTGTTAACACCCTGCTGCCACTGGGTCTGTGGGTTTTGCAAAGGGGCGTGGGCCGAGGCTCCTAGGTCTGTGTTCTTGGGCCCTCCAGGTGGCCCCTCCTGACCATCTGGCTCATGCTGAGGCTGGACCTCCCAGTCTCTCCCCCAGATAGGCAGAGCCTTTTCCAGGTAGAATGCCCGTGACTTCAGAAAGAGTTCAAACAATCTCGATTATCAGAGGACTATTCCTTTGGATTAAGAAGCTCCAAATACCAGATAGGCTCACTCTAAAAATTCAGGTATCAGACATTTTCACCTTAGTATAGCTGGGCTGAATCATCTGGCTCAGAGCAAGGCTCCCAGGGGACAGTTACGTTGGTGGGCAGTGGGAAGGGAGAGGAGGAACTTTGGAACGTGGTACAGGTGGGTTGGTGCAGGGAGCTGTGGGAGGGTGCACAGCTGCATGTCTCTGCAGGTGAGGACTCCATCAACACCTTGGGCTTGATCCTTGGCGTGGGGCTATTGCTGCTGCTTGTGTCCATCCTCGGCTACAGCCTGGCCAAATGGTACCAGCGTGGGTACTGCTGGGAGGGTGAGTGTGCACTGGGCCCTGTTGCCCCAGCTCGTCCTCTCTCGTAGCAGTTGGCAATGCCTGGAAGGGCTGCAAACTCCTCAGCATGGTGGGATGCAAAAGTATTTCCTGTGGTGGTTGCAGTGGTTGAAGACTTGAGTGGGTGGCTGAGCAGTTGAGGTGGTGAGGTGAGGCAATGGCACCTTTATCGAGGGAATGGGGACTCCTCCCACCCCAGCAAGTAGCCAGCTTCCTCCTCCCTCAGATCCCATAGGAGGCCATGCCAGGGGCCTCTGTGGGCTAGATAAGAGAGCAATGGGCTAGACAGGGCATGCTCCAAGTGGTCTCAGTCTGGCTCCTTGTGTGTCTTTGCCCCTGCCCCTGCCTGTGGGTCTTGGGACCCTCTCCTAAGCTTGTGGAAGTGTCGGCTTCACTGGGAGTCTCCTGGAATTTTCTGTGATGTTCTCAACTCTGAGACATGGCTGCTCTTTTCATAGGACTCTGGGAAAGCTGCAAGGGTATGCTGGAATACCAAGGGGCAGAGACTATTTCACAGATCTGCAGTTAACTTTAACAGAGTCCATGGATGTTTGTTGAGCACCTACTCTGTGCCAATACACTTTTGCCTAATATGATTTTCTTTAAAATTCCATGTGAGAAAGATGTTATTATAGCCTTCATTTTTATAGATGGGGACATGAGGCTGAAGTTGTGGAGTTAGAATGAGGTGGAGTCTGAATTCAAGCCCAGGTCTGGTTCTTTTGGGGTCCAGCCTAGGACTGCCTTCATCCCAGGGTAATCAAGACCCTTAATGGAGGCCCTGAAGGAGGCTGGGATGCTCCCACACCATCCTGAGGCTCAGCCCAGCCACCCGCCTCCTCCAGACAGGGGTGAGGGGGCACCAGACGTTCTTAGAAGGGTGATGGACTGCCTTCCCTGGAAGTGTTAACCCTCTCTTTTTGTATTGTCTTCTTAGGGCCTAATTTTGTCTTCAACTTATATCAAATCCGGTGAGTAAATCCAGGGAAGATCTGGGTGAGGTGGGCATGGAGGTAGAAAAAGAATCAAAGATAGAATAAGAACTGACTGCTTCCTTTTCCTGTCTTCTGTTCATGACCCTAAGAAAAAAAAAAGAGGCACGAGAATCAATTTAGAAAAGTCTCATGAATAAAAACTTGAATGTAGGACTATGTGAAACCCTGATGACAATGATCTTTTTAATATTCACCCTTAGACAGGGAATATTCATCCATCCATCCATCCATCCATCCATCCATCCATCCATCCATCTCTCCTCCAAGCAGGCAGAGCCAGCGTTCCTTCCTCCCTCCCTTCCTTCCTCCCTTCCTTCCTTCCTTCCTGCCTTTTCCTCCCTCCCTCCCTTCTTTCTTCCCTTCCTCTTTTCCATCTATCCATCCATTCATTCATCCGTTAATCGTCCATCATTCATCATTCCTTCCTTTCTTTCCTCCATCCATCTTTCCTTTTTTCCACCTTCCATCATTTATTCAGAAAGATTCTATCATAACCACCACTGCAGTGGTATGTTTCTAAGAGTACAAAGATGACTGGGCATAGTCTCTGCCTTCAAGCATTTCATGTCTATGCTGGAGACAGGTCTGATTACAAATAATGTAATCTCAGGCACAAGATGGTATCAAAAAGAGACACATATGAGAAAGTCAGGGATTTAGGGAGTGGGAGCTGGAAGTCCTCTTGGCGTTGGTCATCTCATCTACTTGCCATAGGCAGGGCTGTACCTCCTTTGGCCCTGAGAGATGATTATGGTAGGTGACCCACTTCCTTTTCCGGAAGACAAGTCAGCGAGTCGGTGCCCTGGAGTCAAGGGAGATGGGGTCCAAGGGAGAGGCTAGGTTGTCAGCTCCAGTAACCTAATTGGATTATCTTTCTCAGGAACCTGAAGGATCTGGAGATGGGTCCACCCTTCACCATCAGTGGTCACATCAGCAGCCCAGATGGTGGCTACATGAAATTCTCCAACGGGCTAGTCTGATGCAGGGGCAGCAGCTTGTGGAGCCTTGGAGAGGTGAGTTGGAGGTGGGGGAGCTCCCGTGTCAGCCTGATATCCAAGTAAGGTCCTAAGAGGGTCCAGGCACCCAAGCCTCGCACCAAGGATCACTCGGAACTCAAAGAGATTATCTGGTCCATCCCCTGTCTTCTGGGGCTCATCTCAGGCTTGGGGTCACGTTTTCCCCCACCCGCTTCTGGCACTGGGCCGGCCCTGTTTTCTCCTGTCCACCCAATCCATGCCCGGCCTTTCCTTCCTGGGAAGATTCTGTTTGTATTCAAGGTGGAAGCTTCCAGAGCACAGCTTTTTTTTTTTTAAATCTCAACTCTTGCTCTAAGATGAAGTTTCCAGATGACCAGTCTCTCTTGAAGCATCACTCTAGCACTTCAGTTCTGAGCTTTCTGAGCCCAGGAGCCGCCCCTGCTTCATGGCCCGCTAACCCTTTGGCCACACTTCCCCTCGCCTGCCTTCCAGCCCCGCCCTTCCCCACATCTCAAGTTGCTTTTTCCCATCCAAACCTTTCCTCCCTGCAGCAGTTCCTTCCCCTTCTAGGCTCACCTGGGCTGCCCTCATCCCCTTGGATCTTCAAGGCCCGGCCTGGCCCCTCCCTGTGGAGAATGAGGGGGGTCTCCTCTGGATACACACCAGTCTGCTGCATGGGAGTCCTGGAGGGTCAGGCATCTAGGGATGGAGTCTGGCTGGGGAGCAGCGGCTTTCTCACAGAACTAAAGGAGGCGGCCATTCCTCAGGAGGGAGCTGGGTTCTGGGAAGCCCCTGAGCCTGGAGGAGGGGTCACAGAAGTCCTGGAGAACCAGCCCTGCCCAGTGCAGTCCAGTGTGGGCGAGGCCTCCAGACACCAGCGGGGAGCTTCTTTATGGGGTGTCTCCAGTCACCTCCCCTTGTAGGGGTAGACCAGGGCCAGAAAGCTAGTCATAGATTTAATAGGCAAAGTTATGTGGAAACATGTGATTCCAGACATGGTTTTAACCTTCCCGCCTGAGGCCGACTTCCCTGAAGCCAAGCTGGGCCCTGACTGCCCTGCCCCGCCGTCTGCTTGGTTCCGGCACTTTGAACCCTCCCCCTGCCCCATGCCCCATCTGGGCCTGTTCTCTCACTGCTGAAGGCCTCAGTGCATCCCAAACATGGCCAGCTCCCAGTTCTGATGTGCAGTGCTGAGAACAGTCTAGAGACATGTTCTCGTTGCCTTAGCTCCTGGGACGGGGTAGGCACGGAGAAGTGGGTGAGCGCTATCTCACAGTGTTCTGCATTTCTTATGCAAAGGCTGCCCTGTGGCAAAAGTGGGCCGGAAATGGTGGGAGTAGGAAGAGGAACCCAGGCGAGGCCGAACAAACCAGATAATATACCAGGGAAACCAGGAATCCACTGCAGTTTGGTGGACAGCGGGGCAGTTCACCTCATGAGTCATCACTCCTTCCTCCCTTCTGTGCCCTGCTGGACTGGAGGCAAAGCGTGCATAGAGATATCAGCTCAGAAGGTGCTTCGTGCAGAGTTGTTCGATCCAGAGAGGCAGAGTCCTCGGGGCTGCTGTGGATGGAGCAGGGCAAGAGAAGGGGCCCCGTCACTGCTGAAACCTGCAGTGAGAACAGCCAGCAGCCAGGCCCTCTGCTAGCAGTCCAGCAACAGATGCAGGAGGGGGAGGAGGGAAGCTGTGTGAGTCTTCTTCCTAGCCTCCCTTTCCTGAAGCCTCATTTCTTTCTTGTTTTGGGTTCTAGTAGATTGTAGAAGAAGGCAGGCGAGGAGCCTTACCAGCCCTTACCCCATTTTCTGTCAGGGTCTGGGGGCCATTGTCCCAGCATAGCCAGGCTTTGACTTAATTTCCAAGTCTCTGGATTTGGAGGTCTTCAACCGAGTCTTCTGCCCCCAAGTAAGTGGGAATGGGGAAGGCCCCTTCGTGGCTGTGTGACCCCCCTCCCTTCTCTGAAGGTCTCTTGGAGTAGCCGGGAGGGGAGATGGGTTGATTTTGGCTTCCTTCCTTGGATTTCATTGCTGAGGACTGGGGCCCCTTCCCTAACCCCTGGAGTATCTGGCCCCAGTAAAACTTTCTTTCTTTTCCTTTTCTTTCCTTTTTTTTTTTGAGATGGAGTCTCACCCTGTTGCCCAGGCTGGAATGCAGTGGTGGGACCTCGGCTCACTGCAACCTCCACCTCCCAGGTTCAAGGGATCCTCCCCCTCAGCCTCCCAAGTAGCTGGGATGACAAGTGCGTGCCTCCATGCCTGGCTAACTTTTATAGTTTTAGTAGAGATGGGGTTTCACCATATTGGCCGGGCTGGTTCCGAACTCCTTACCTTAAGTGACCCACCCACCTCGGCTTCCCAAAGAGCTGGGATTACAGGTATGAGCTGCTGCACCTGGCCCAGCCCCAATAAAACTCTCAACCATACCCTGCTCAGCAGGAATCCCGGGTCTGCAGTCTGTGTCCAGCCGCTCTAGGCCCCTGGAAGTGCTTAGAACTCAGCAGCCTTGGAGAAACTTGACAGGGAGGATGGCTCCCAAGACCCAGGTGGCCTTGGTCCCAGGTCTGTGGCTTCAGGTGAGGAGACGGGGACAGCTGCCTGGGGCTGGGAGCACGGAGGGTATTTCCCATCCCTGGGAGCAGAACTGATACTGGGCTGCTTCCTCTTTTAGGGCCCTCTGACGCATCCTCTGTACCCTCAGCCTCCCCCTCTTTTCCTTACTTCCTCAGGCCACTGGCGAGCACAGCTTTCTTCACCCGTGGGGCCCGGGCCCCACCCCTGGGCTCTGCGTGTTTCTGTTGAGGGTTCTGAAGTGCAGATTCCAACTCGTTTAGAAATGATTCGGGAGCAGATGCCTGGAAATCCAGCCATAGGTTTTGTTGCACTGGGCATTGGCTGGGCATCCAGACCATGGCTGTGCCAGGGCCTCTCCCAGCACCTCCCCACTGCCTTTTTATGGTTCTTCTTTCCACTGGCCCTAAGAGCCCAGAGGCAGTCAGAGGGCCAGGAGCTCAAGGGCCCCATCCTCAGCTCTGAGCTTCCCACGGACCCTCTCCTCTTTTTTCCTTTTATCTTTTTATACCTTCCTTGACCTCCAAAATCACCAAATTCTGCTTATTCTTAATACCAGCTCAAATTTCCCTTCTTCAGGGAGCCTCTGTAAGACTCATGGATGTTGCTCTCTGCTGATTTTAAATACAGATAATCTCAGGCTCCTATAGCTTTATTGTTGATTATTTCTTTGCATTTATTTATTTATGCTGCTTCCATAATATGCCAGGAACTATGCTACGCACTGCGGGGGCATCCAGTCTCCCAGAAATTAACCTTGCTTTCTCCTATTTGACAGGAATTTCTTGGAGGCAGAATCAGGTTTTAAACCTCTTCTGGGTTCTCCACGGTACTTTGCATGGCTCTGGCCATAGCCAGGAACTTCTCAGAAAATTGTGTTGAAATCAATCTTTCTTCGGAACATGTCGGGCATTGCTTCATCCCTGGTGTAATCCTAGGTGTTCCGAAAACCAAAAGTTTTGATCTCTTTGCATCCTTGACTCCATTCAACCCTGTGCTCATGATCACTTACATTTCTGAGACAGAGCACACAGACAGCGGTTTTTCTATATTAAAGTATAACCCAAGGAATGATCAAAGCCATGATGAGGCTGGCAGGTGAAGAGGGAGCTTTTCTCTCCTGTAGGTTCTTCTTCAAGTCTTAATGGTCTTGTCTCATGCCAGTGGCATTGGAGGGGCCTGGTGCCAGGAGTTAGGAGGGCCAGAGTCAACAGTGCCCCACTCTCTGCACCAGGGGTCTGAGAAACTCAAAGCGGGAGCAGATGGGAGGATCATTATTATATTTTTAAAAACTGCTTAGTGATCAAAAACCATCTAGAAGCCGTGATATTTAAACAGATCTGGTACAAAACAGGAAGCCAGTGGCCTGGCCAATTCTCACACTTGGAGACCAGAAGTGAAAATGTTCTGCCTGCCCAGAGTAGCAGCAGGTCAGCAAAACAACAGGTGGGGCCAGGCGTGGTGGCTCATGCCTGTAATCCTAGTGCTTTTGGAGGTTAAGGTGGGCAGATCACTTGAGGTCAGGAGTTCAAGACTAGCCTGGCCAACATGGTGAAAGCCCTGTCTCTGCTAAAAATACAAAAACTAGCCAAGTGTGGTGGCTTCTGCCTGCAGTCCCAGCTACTCGGGAGGCTGAGGCAAGGGAATTACTTGAACCCAGGAGGCAGAGGTTGCAGTGAGCCGAGATCACACCACTGCACTCCAGCCTGGGTGACAGAGTGAGACAAAAAACCAAACAAACGAAAAACCAGGTTGGGCTTTGCTGGAAGTGGGTTTTTACCTGCAGAGCTATGGGTCTGGTCTTCCCTTCCCCAGTCAGGAGGATGAGGTGTCTCATGATAAGCAGAGAACCACTGGGGGAGTGATGGTGGGCAGTATAAGAAGTCACATCTATTCTAGTCCAAGTTCCTCCCCATGTGGCTGGTGAGTGCAAGCTCTCTGAGCCCCTGCTGCTGCGTTTGTATAAGGCTGCCATTGGTCCTGAGGACCCTGGGGTCCCTTCCAGCTGAGAGGCTCAGCTAACTCTGAATAATCCTTTGTCATCACTTCTAGCCTCAGTCCTAGCTGGCAGCTACCCTGACAACCTTGGCCCCCAAGAACATACTTCTCCCTCCAGATGGTCTCTAAACAGTTCCACAGTGCTGGGGGGTGAAGGAAGTAGAAGAGGACGTAGGTGGAGACATCCGTGTGTGCGTGCGTGCGTGTGTACTGCACAGCTGAGCCAAGAAGGAGAAGGATCACATCAGATTGCCTGTTGTATTTCCAGAGGGCCTCCTCATGACAGAGGCTCAATAAATGTTTTGCCCGAAGAGTGAATGCATGTTGAATGTTTTCATGGTCCTTTGCCTTGTCTCCTGACCACATCCACTTGCCTTGGTCTTCCTGTTTGGTCTGTAGCCCTGAGTTCCTACAACATCCAGAGTTGTAGGGTGAAAATAGCAGGGAAGGGAATCAGCAGGGTATAATGTGACTCAGCTAAGAAGATGAGAAACCTGAGATAAAGTTTAAAATCATAGTTACGTACAGCCTGCTTTTCTTTAGGCTCAGTCTGGTGTCTCCCAAGTATCTGTTCAGCCACAAGCTCCCATCACCACTGTTGCCTTCTCATGTCTGGACACTATGCTTCTTCAAGTTCCTTCCCACGAATGGAGGAAATTCATTCATTCATGCATTCATTTATTCATCAAAATGAGCACTCATTGCGATGTGTTAGGCATTGGCTAAATACAAAGGACACAGAGAGAAATCAGAGTGGTTTCTGCTCTCCAGGAGCCCACAATCAGTGCTGCATGTAGCACTCTTGGTGTAGTGTGTCCAGGGCACTAATGTGAGAAGTCAGCTTCAGGAGTCCTCTGTCCATTTGACAGATGAGAAGACTGAGGCCCAGAACTGACATGACAGGTTCATGTCCAGAGAACAGATAGTAGCTGAGCATTCTTTCTATTCCCTGGGGCTGTTGCCGCTTCCCGTTTGCCCTTGGAGCATTTCCAGACCAACGAGCTTGCTATGGCCACCTATCCGGCCATTCACATATTATAGCATACCACGTGCAGGGTCATTCACATATTATAGCATACCATGTGCGGGGTGTCCCTGGAGCTGTTCGTGTTGCAGAAGCAGTTGGAAGAGGAGTTGGTGAATAGAGACTGCTTATTCCAAAGGCTGATTGTGAAGAATGGGAAAGAAGGTGGTGCTGGCCGGGAAGTTTTCAGAATCCTTGGCTTGTCTTCCCCATGAGGCCTCCAGAATGTATCAGCTGGGCCAGATGCCTGCTCTCCACATGCCATCGATCCCTGTGCCTATCCCCATGACAGCCCAGACAGTCGATGCTTCCCTGTCCTCCCAGCCTGACAAGTCTCGTCTGCAGTGCCCACTGCCTGCCATCTGCTTACTGCCCAGCTCCTCCACTTCTGGAGGAGCCCATGCAGCCCGTGCGCCATATCAGGAGGACCGCGGTATGGAGATTAGACCGAGGGAACACGAGTGGATGCAGAGGAGGAGGACAGAGCCTCATGGTGGTCCAGGGGAGAGGTCACAATGAATTTGACCAGATGACAGTGGGGGATGGTGACAAATGACTGGATTCACCATCTATCTGGAAGGTAGAGCTGATAGGACCTGTTGAGGAGTCTGATAGGGCAGAAAGGGATGACTCCTGGGTTTTTGACCTGAACTAGGAGAACGATGGTGCCATTTATCAGGTGGGGATGACTGGGGAGGAAGACCTGCGGGGGGAGTCGTGAGCTCTGTTACAGACACTATAATTTTGAGATGCATGGTAGACATCCACATACAGCTACTGATGAGGCAGCTGAATAGAGTTTGGGAGAGAAAACCTGTTGGACATTTGGAAGCCACCAGCATCCAGTTGCCACATAAAGGTGTGGACCAGGTGATACCAAGTAGGGGGCAGTGGGGAGAAAAGGACTGATTTTAATAGAACAAGCAGCGAATCATCAGCTTGCTCCCTAAAGGGGCGACTCTCCAACTTGAGTGTGGGCTGGAAATCACCGGCAGTGTGGTCATGGTAAGTTGTTTCCCTAGCAGGTCCTTGAGAATCGGCATTCAGAAATTCTGGGCCTCGGGAAGCAGTTTAGGAAGCCACCCACAGGTAATTCCGATAGAGGCGATCTTTTTTTTTTTTTTGAGACGGAGTTTTGCTCTTGTTACCCAGGCTGGAGTGCAATGGCACGATCTCGGCTCACCGCAACCTCCGCCTCCTGGGTTCAGGCAATTCTCCTGCCTCAGCCTCCTGAGTAGCTGGGATTACAGGCACACGCCACCATGCCTAGCTAATTTTTTGTATTTTTAGTAGAGACGGGGTTTCACCATGCTGACCAGGATGGTCTCGATCTCTTGACCTCGTGATCCACCCGCCTCGGCCTCCCAAAGTGCTGGGATTACAGGCTTGAGCCACCATGCCCGGCCAGGGCGATCTTCTAAGAAACTCTGCCTTACGGACGGTAGAGGGGGTGTGGGGAAGTGGAGGGCAAGGGATACTTCCAGGGCTGGGGTGATCCGATAGTAGGATCCTAAAGAATGTTCCCGTTCTCTCCAGGGTCACTGTGAGGACTTAATCTCTACCATGCCCTCCTGCCCCACGTGGGTAGAGGTAGACAGGTGTGGTATCCTACACCCAGGACTTTGCTGATCACGTACTAGTCTGGACCCCTCCCTGAGCCTCTCAGCTCTGCAGACTGGACAACTTACAAAAGGTTGTACCTCAGTTACACCCTTGATGATGGGCTGCAATTGACCAAGGAACCCCAGTGAGGCTCCTGGCTGGGCTCTGCAAGACAGACGCCAAACTCAGCCATGGTTCCTGTGACTCGATGAGCTGAAGGGATGGCAGCCTGCTTTTTCTCAAGGCAGGAAGTCATTGGTTGAATGTTCTAGCTGCATATTGGCTACAGGGGGGTTAGGGATATTCTCCAAGCTGGTGTCCTTACCTTCACACTAAGGGGTATGGGCTCATTCACACTGATATGGAAATCCCTAGCCCTGAGCCTCACAGAGCCAGGCCAGCCTTGCCATATGCTGAAAGACCTTTTCTTGGATAACTTGTCATTATTAAACCAGAACTCACCATATTCCCTCTCCCTCTACACCTGTGTCTCCCTTCCATGTCCGTATTTTGCTTCTCTCACCATCGAGTTCAAGTGTGATCAGCACCGAGGCCTTCTTCTTTCACTCCAGCCTGTCACCCCATCTTGATAACTCTTCCTTTAAAATGTCTTTTGAGTCTGTCCTCTTCTCTCCATTCCCACTGCCCCTGCTCAATACTGTCATTAGACTATAGTGTAAGCCTCTGTTATGAACCAAATATTTTCGTTTTCCCCAAATGCATGTTGAAGCTCTCACTCCCAATGTGATAGCATTTGGAGGTGGGGCCTCTGGGAGGTAATTGGTTTAGATGAAGTCATGAGAATGGGGCCTCCGTGATGGGATTAACACCCTTGTAAGAAAGTGGAAGAGAGACCAGAGCTCTTTATCTCCACCGTGTAAGGACACAGCAAGGATGCTGTCTGTCAGCCAGGAAGAGAGCCCTCCCTGGGAACTCACTTAGCTGGCACCTTGATCCAGCGCTTCCCCACCTCCAGAACTGTGAGAAATCAGTATCTGTTGTTTAAGCCACCCGGTCCATGGCATTTTGTTACAGTAGCCCAGCCTAAGACAGCCTCCTATCCTGTTTCTCTGCTTCTTGCCTCATTCTTCATGTGGAATATTAGTTTCTTTCACACCGCTTATCCCTGATTGTAGTCATACATTTGTTGTGTTTATTTGCTTGGTGTTTATCTTCATAACCAGATGACACACTCCATGAAACCATGTTTCTTTGCTTCACCACTCTGTACCCAGGGCTGAACACCATATCTAATACATAATAGATGCTTCATAATGTTTCCTGACAAAATGAAGTGCTGACTACAATAAAAGCCTCCAGCAAGTTTCTCTGCCTCCTGCCTCATCCTCTCTGATTCATGTCTGATGCTTTGGCCAGGGCCCTATTCTTAAAACACGAGTTTCATCCTACCCAACCCTTCCTTGGAAGAGTGTTTATTGGGTCCCATACCCCTTTTGGAGGTTTATGGGAAATTAAGTGAAGTTAGGATCAAGATGATAGTGGGGAAAGGTGCTGTGGGTCATTAATAATGATTCATTTAATTTTAAATTGTGGGTTTGCTTTTTTAAACCCATGAGAACTACAGGAAATGAATGAGTCAAGTTTTCGAGCAACTAGGGTCCTCTAGGTTGAGGCTTGATCAGATCAGCTGCTGCCACTTAGGCAGGAGACCTGTCAGTGGTCCCAGGCAGTCACAGCCTACAGCTTCCCTTGCTGTGCTGTTCACAGGGGGGCTGAGACCTTCCAGCCAGTAGAGCAGCATGGGTTCTAGGGGTAGGACCCAGCCTCCTAGGGACTGTGTGCCTTTTGTGACAGTGTTGGCACCGAGGCAGGGGGAATGGGTGTATGTTGGGTAGACAAGGCAGACTCTGACTACAGCTATTTAGAAAGTTGGGAAAACACAGTTCAATTGAATTTCCTCTTCTGTCAATGGTGGCCCATTTCCCCCATCTCCTTACTAAGAGGAAGTTCCATTAGCTCACAGAAAGACAGCATCACACATTCCTTGGCCTGGAAAAGCCCTTGAAGGAGACTGTTCAGTCGAAAAACATCCGGGGCCTTCTGTTGGGGACTTTAATCCAAATTCCCAAGAAATCTGCAAGTGTCTCATTAGCCCCGGCTGCTTGGAAGAACTCGCTTAATTTCTCCCAAGGCCCTGGCTGTAGTGAGTGGTTAGAGAGCAGCCTCAAACCAAAGGTGAGCCAGTGCAGACTCCCACTCATTCCACAGAAACGGAGCAGGCAGGGTCTGCACCAAGGGCTGTGCCTTCTGACTTCCTTCTGTCCTGCAAGCTGCTTCTTGATCTGTCATAGCTCACAGCCAACCAAACGGGCTGCAGTTCCTCCAACATAAGTCCTCTTATTCTCTACATTTTCATATTCAGACCTCAGAGGCCTTTTCCATGGGGAAGAAGCTATCGCTAATACCTCATTTCTAGGAGAAAGTGACCAACCCTATTTTTCTTTCCATCTTGACGAGGGCTCTAGGGCAAAAGTCTGAGTAGGTCTGAAATGGTGGGATATTAGTCAAGTTCTGTGAAGATGACAGAATCAGCACTTCCTCAGAACTAGTTATTTTCTCAGAATGAACGGGGTAAGGCAAGGTTGGAGATGACACAGGGGAAAAGAGGTGAGGTGTCCCCAGTGAGCTTCTAGGAAATCCAGGTGAGACAAAGAGCACGTGCAGGAAGCTCAGGCCGTAGGCCTGGGTTTGTTCAACCTGCTGGGCTGAGCCCAGGGAGAGAGTCAAACCTGCATAGGGCTTTTCGTGGAGGGAGCAGGCTGCTTCTAGAATAAAGTGCAGATGGCTTCCACACTTAGGAGAACCACTGCTGGGACACGCCTCCGGGGGTAGGGGAGCCGGGACTGGGCTCTGGGGAGGCGAGGTTTGCTGTCTTCCTGGAAGAGAGGGGTTTCCAGGTTCTTCTCTCCACACCGTCAGAACTCACATCCAAAACATTCCATTGTACTTTCCACCATTTGTTTTCCACCTTCTGAAAGAGCCTGCTGTGCATTCCTTCTCTTTCATTTTCAGCTGCTTCCAAGAAAAGCTGTCCATTTCTCTTTACAGCCTCAACAGCTATTTGCACATGGGGACCACCACACGCCTGGCACTGTGTTAAACTTTTTGTGTGATCTCGTTGAAACCTCACAACATTCCCACGGGGAGCTGTCAACTCCATGTGCTAGGTGGGGAAATGAAAACCTGGAGAGGATAAGTAATGGGCCCAAGGTCGCGAGGACTGCCTAGGTCTGCTGGATTTGAGGCTGAGTCCTCAGGCCTGTTTCCTTAGTGACATGACACATCCCACCCATTATTACCCTCCTCATTACCAACAACCGAGTCCTCCACCAGCCACTGTGCCATCAGCAAGCTGACTGGTTTCACATGATTCCTGTGGTCCTGACAATTTATTGGAATAAAAAACATGTATCACTAATTCACAGAGCTTTGTGTTCAAGGCACATTCATATCCATTTCCTCAGTAGAACCTCACATCCCTATGAATTAGACGAGTCAGTCATTGTTTTCCAGATGAAGAAACTAAGGTTCCAAGAGGATAAGTGACTTCCCCCAGGTCACACTGCTGGAAACAGTAGAGTCAGAGCTAGAACTTTGGGGTTTCTGAGATACCCAGAATTCTTTCACTGTGCAATGCTGCCTCTCCAATAAATAAATCAACAAAATAAATAAAAAAGCTTTCAAGGGAAACCTCAGGAATCGTCCCTCAAGCCTGTTTCCAGAAGGAGTTCAGTTACCAGACTGGCACCTAAAGGCACCTTGGCAGGGGGCAGTGGTCATGGCTGGATTCCTTGGGCCAGAATGTCTGTTTTCAGAATGCTCCAGAGAAAGGCAGGGCAGAGATGACCCTGGAGGGCACGCATAGGCCTGTCTCCTCCCAGCTTCCACGTCTATCGACTGAAATTCCTTTGTTTGAAGACAGATTCCAAATGGCTGTGGGAAGCAGGGCCCATACATTCCCCTTCCTGGGCCTGCCTGATGCTGTCTTGGCATGATACCATGGACTTCCACTGGATTTGTTAGCCCCTGGCATAAGAAACAAGCTGGCTTGGGAGTCCATGGACAGTATTTACTGTCTCCTAGGGCCAGCTTAGCTAATACCCAGCAAACATGGAGGGCCCCCTAAAGGTGGAGTCCTTATTTCACAGATGGGGAAATTGAGGCCTTCTGACAAGTAGCTGGTCCACAGTCACATAGCTGAACACAAAGAGGGCAGGGACCCCAGCCCAGTGTCCAGTGCCTTATCCTCTGGGTCTGTAGCTGGACATTAGCAGCCACAAGCACAGGCCCTCAACCCTGATTCTCTGGGGCTGGCTTGAGCTGGTGCCCAAGCCCAGAGGTCGCCCAAAGGGTTGAGTTATGACCAATACAAAACCATGGCTTCTCTAGAACTTGCTAGCAAAATGGTGGGGCAGCGGGTGGGATGTGAGTGGCTTGGCCACAGCCAGTGCTCCAAGGGGATGCTACTCCATTTGCTGGAGAGAGGGAGATATTTGCAGATGGGCACCAAAGATACCCACTAGAGGGACGGGTTCTGAGCTGGAAGCTCCGTCCAGGGTCTCAGCTCCGTTTGTCTCCCCTCGGTGACTCCATCATGAGGCGTTTGACTGTCCAGAGAGTATTTACCTTAAGACCTTTTAGTGATAAGCTTCCTGCCTCAGAGGCCCAGTGTGGGGAGGTTCCCCATGTGATGATCCCAGAGGTCAAACTCAGCCTCCATTTCCTCCTTTTTCCCTTAGAAATGACACCAGCGGTGAGGTCCTGAAGCTTCCATTTCCTCAGCCCTTCCTCCTGCTGGAGGTCCTGATGCTTGGGTGGCCTAAGCAGGGAGTTCTGGGTCTGAGCTGACTTTGGCCTGGCGGCTTCACCACAACTCCAGAAAGCCCCATGGTTCCCCTGAGCAAATAATCCGTTATGATACAGGAAAGAGTCCCAAGCAGGGAGAAGGTCCCTTCCCTTCTCAGCTCTGCCAGAGTCTGCAGGGCCCAGTCAGCAGAACGGGTCAGTGTCCCCCACACACCCTGCATTAGTTCAGCGAGTCAACCTCCTTCTGCCCCAGGCACCCTGACCAGCCCTGCAGGGCTGGCCCCAGTGGGCTTGCAGAAAAGTGCCCAGACTGCCTTGTGCCTTACTTCTGCCCAGGGGGCTCCTCTTCCTGGTCCAGGTAGAGGAGCAGGCGTGGCTAAAATCAAAAGCAGCTTCTCAGCCTGAGTCACTCATTTGAGTGCAGGCTGGAGATGAGGGGCAAGGTGACCAGGTCTGAGTTAAAGCTGCCCAGGAGACCACCTTGGGCTGCCAGACAGCCTAGAGAGGCAAGGTTATGGGCGAAACTCCAGTCAGATGTTCCCAGGTCACCACAGTTGCTCAAGGCCAGGAGTGACCATTCCTCAGTGGGCTGGTTCCACTGTCCAGTTGGGGCCCCTGAGGAAGCCAGCGTCATTTCTAGGGGATCCTGTTTCAAATAGCCCTTGGCCAGGGCTGGTGGATGCCAGCCTTCCTCATCATCCAGGCATGCCCTGAATTTGGGGCCAAGGCCATCTGTCAAGGGGGATTCTTCCTCCAGGCAGCCTGTCTTGGTTGCCTTCTCCTCAGTGCATCTGGTCTGCCTCAGGTAGCCCCGGAATGCCACAGCAGCTGGATCTTCTTCCCCAGGCACCTCAGTCTCTGGCGGACTGCTGTGGTCCAAGGCTGGGCCACCCTGTGTGTCCCCAGCCTGTCCCTCAGAGTTTTGAACTAGGCCAATTCCACTGTCATCCTGGTCCCTGCTGTCACTCCCCACCTGCTGCTCCCAGACAGGCCGTGTGCCAGGGCTCAGGCTGCGCTCCTGCAGGCAGATCCCACTGTCTGTGCTGTTGCTGCTGTCACTACCGCAGCTGTCCCCCAGCTCAGGGGGCTCCCCACTACCCAGCGTTCTGTTGGCCTGGGGGTGGGGGTCAGAGAGGAGGAACTGCGGCTCTTCAGTCTGCAGGGATGGCTTGTTACTGCCAAAGCCACTGTCCGTGCTGCCATGCAGATCCAAGTTCCTCAGCTCTGGGGACACCTTCAGGAAGGCCTCCTCGTCAAGTGGGTGGATGGTGTCCTGGGTCTCTGGACAGGGTGGCTGGCTGCCGAGGATGAAGGGGCTGGGCTTCTTGAAGAGCTGGGGAAGAGAGGGCAGAGTGAGAGAGGCAGGAGTCACCTTCCAGCACCCATCCCAGTGCTGCTGGGGAAGGCCAGGCCCACGAGGAAGAGCTCAACAGAGGGGACTACAGTCCTAATTACACTGCAACGTATTCTGTTTTGTTTTCAAATCCAGCTTTCCTCCTAATGCAATTCCCAGTTTGGCTCATAAGAAGCTTGTATTCTTGGGCCTAGATGGAGTAACAGGCAGAACTGGGGTCTGCCAAGCATGGTGAAACTCTTAGGTGGCTCCATCCGCAGTGCTTTGCAAACCTGAAAGCAGGCTAGACCCATCTATAAGCGCATTTCAAACTTTTTTGACTATGACTCAAAATCAGAAATAAGTTGCATAATGACTTATATATATAACACATATGTAAATAACTGAAACCAGGTTCACAAAATATTACTTATCATTATGACCTGTGCCACGATCTTTTTGCAGTTCTTATTCTATTGTGTCCTAGTCTATGCCATCTGCCCATTTCATTTTTGTAAATTCTGGATGTGAGACACCAAATTAATTTCTCTATTCCCTGAGTCATGACTCACAAGAACAGGGTGGCTGTAGTGTGGGGCAGGGGCTGCTCTCTGTTAACTGCCAAGGGTTTTGAGGAAGCCGTATCACCCCTCTGCCGTAGCCAGACTGGTATCCTTTCTGTCCCAGAACACATCAAGCACCGTGCTGTCTCAGGGCCTTTGCACATGCTCTCCCTCCTGCTTGGAATGCTCTCGGCACTTTATATGACTGTGTCCCCTTCACGGTTTAGGTCTCAGATGGTTTTGAAGCTCAGATGTCTCTTCTTCAACAAGGCCTTCCTGAATACCTTGCCCAGAGCAGTACTCCAGCCACTCTCTCCACATTCACCCTGTTACTTCTTCCTAGTACTTGGTTCCTAGACTTATTTTACTTATTTATTTCCTGCCTCTCACCATACACACACTCACTTATTCCACATTCCCAAACGAACACAAACTCCTTGAGGGCAGGAAGTGTCTACTGTTGTTTACCGCCCTGTCTCCAGAGTCTAAACTGAGCTGGTGCACAGCAGGCCCTCCTAAGGTCTGCCGACCGACTGACTCACTGATGCACATCTGCCCTCAGCTCCTTGGTACATGATGACTCACATACAGCTCCTATTGGTGGAGTCCCTATTACTATCACATTGCTTGGTGATTTAGGATGTGTCCTCCAGAGCCAGATTCCATGGGTTCAAATCCCAGCTCTGACTCTTACCAGCTTTGTCACTCTAAGCAAATGACTTACCCTCTCTGTGCTTTAGTTCCTCATCTGTAACGTGGAAATAACGACAGTACCTGCCTCCTTATGTTGCAGTTAATGTATCTGCAGTGCTTAGAACCAAGTGTGGGGCATGGAAGATGTTCAATAAATATATGTTGAATTGAACTTTGCCCTCCAGTAATTATGTAAGAGAAGTATTATTACCTCTATTTCCTAGAGGAGAAAACTGAAGCTCAGAGAAGTTAAGTGACTTGCACAAAGTGACTCAATAGTAAAGAACACATCTGGAATTCATCCTCAACTGTCTTGATTTGAAATCTCTTGCTTGTCCAATAATACTTACCTTGAGGAACTGTTGAAAGATAAGATCAAACAAGCTAATGAATGAGAACAAACTAATGAATGTGCCAGTGCTCTGTGCATTATAATTTACTCATGTGGTAATGACTGTGATGATCAGATGCAGGGAATTGGGCTATATGTATCCTGAAGAGAAAAAATCCTCAAGGACAAGTCAATTCTGTGATCCAGAAGGGGCCAGGCATGGTGGCTCATGCTAACAATCCTAGCATTTTGGAAGGCCAAGGTGGGCGTATTACCTGAGGTCAGGAGTTCGAGACCAGCCTGGTCAACATGGTGAAACCCTGTCTCTACTAAAAATATAAAAATTAGCTGGGCATGGTGGTGAGCACCTGTAATATCAGCTACTTGGGAGGCTGAGGCAGGAGAATCATTGGAACCTAGGAGGTGGAGGCTGCAAGTGAGCTGAGATTGAGCCACCGCACTCTAGCCTGGGTGACAGAACAAGACTCCATCTCAAAAAAAAAAAAAAAAAAAAAAAAAAAAAAAAAAAAAAACACCCCAAAACCAAAAAACAATGAAGGTATAGAAGGAAGAAAAAACAAACAAATCAGAAGCACTTGCCTTCTCGTTTGGCACTGGCATTTTTGCATCTACGTCTATTTCACTGCTTTGCGTTAGTTAATCATTTACATACTGGCTGTAATCAAGCTCCCTGGGACTAGGCACCACATTAATCAGCTTCTTGCTGAACAACTTTCTGCATTTATAGGTAGTGGGTCTTGAGTGACTGTAGTTCACCTGCCCCCTCCTTCTTTCTTGATGCCTCTCCTGATCCCCAACTAAGCATCTTCCCAGCCAGTAAACCAGGGTCACCCTTCTCCATTCCCTCTGCTTTTCAGTTCTCATGGCCTGGTCTCCCATCCCTGAGGACAGGCTCCAGGCTACATTTGCCTCTAAATCCATCCCAGCTCCAGGCCCCACACACAGTATATGCTTAAAGTGCTTGTTAAACAGGCCAAGGAATACGTGTTTATGGAACACAGTCACTGAGAAGCCCAGAGAAAGGCCAGTGAGTCGCACACTTCAGCTAGACACGAGGAAGAACGTTACAATCCCCTAAAGATGTAGGGGCTGCCTGTCCCCGGTGTCATCATCATACTCTTCCACCAGGGTACTGGAGCTAGGAACATGGTTCTTTTTTTCACATGGAGAAATACCCCAGTTAGGCCAGGGAGTCCCATCCCCCTTCCCCATCAGCATCGCACACTCCCACTTCCTAGAATTCTTATTCAAAATAATTTCAGAGAGTCTTCGTCTTTCACCTTGTTTCCCCTAGAGATCCCAGGATCCTTCTGGTGATTCCCCTTCCAGTTGTGGGACCCCTGCCTTGCAGATGGAGCTGGGTCCTTCCCAGCTGAGCCCTTGGCCATCATGCCAATAGTGTCAGCTACGGGGGCTACGGTGGGCAACCTTCGATGTGGCCTGAACTCCAGGCCAGAGACAGGGTGAGGTTTGGAAAATGCTGCCCAGTCTTTGCAAGTGGGGTTTGGAGGCTGGCTTGCCACAAGTGTACCATTTGTCAATACAACATAGCAAGAGGATATACTCTGGGAGGGGAGGAAGGAGGGCTTGGTCTCCTCCATGAGCCCTTCCCTGCCCTACCCCCCAGCATCCCCTCACCACTGGTCCAGCATCCTCACTACCCCCAGCATCCTCTCTTCTCTGATCCACTCTGACAGCAGCCCAAGGGCCAGCACTTCTGGCCTTTCCTTCTTTTTCTCTTGTGGAGCACCCATGGCCACTAGTGGTGGGAAAGTGGGCTCCATCCCTGACTCTTCCTGGCTGTGTGGCCCTGTGTGTGTAACAATCACTCCGTGCCTCAGTTTCCTCACTTATGAAATGAGGATAACAACTGTGTCTCATTATCAGAGATGAACTACTAGTAGATCATACCAAAATGGCTTGTGGTCACTGAGGTCTATGGTTCCATGTGTCTTATTTGTGCCACTGGAGGGCAACGTTCTCGGCACTGGGCTTCATGCTCACTTCCTCCCTCTGTCCCCACAGTGCTTGATGATGGTATCTCCCAACCACATCAGGGCTGAGAGCAGAGGCGAGCTGAGGGAATGGACTGTCTGGGAGGAAAAGAGCTCCCTGTCCTCCCAGGGAGCTCTAGTGTGGCTGGGAAGGGCGGGGCAGTGACCTTCCTGCAAGACTCACCAGGACACTGGGCAGCTTCCTTCGGTGCCGCACATACAGCTGGAGGGCCAGGCAGCAGGCCAGGGCTCCGGAGAGCAGGACAAAGGCAAAGATGATGATGATGTTGGTCACGGTGAAATCTGTAGGCCCAGAGAGATGTGTTTGTGGCCTGGCACCACGGGACATGGTGATTCTGGTCATGGGACTCTGGTCCCATGAAATCGGTTGGCCACGGGACTCTGGTCCCATGAAATCCATTGGCCACTGTCAGGAACCATTCAGTGAGTGGTCCCAGGTGACCTACAGGCCACAGCTCTAGATGTGTCTAGGTTTCTGAGAATCCTCTCCTGGCTTTCCAAACCCTGCCCTGAAGGATGCCCTTAGGAGATTTGCTGACTGCTTCCAGCTCTCTGCTCACGACTCCCATCACGGCAAATACAACAATGACGCAGGATGGTGCAGCGGGTAAGAATCAAGCCTCTGAGGGCTGCTAGATGTGGGTTCTAGTCCCGGCTTCACCACTTATTAGCTGTGTGACTGTGGACAAATCACTTCCTCTCTCGGAGGAAGATGGCTGACCTCACAGGATGGTTGTGAAGTACACAGCACTTACCACGTACCAACACCATCAGATTCTTTTAACGTTTATACTTATAGGAGGTAAATACTATCATCAGCTCCATTTTTACAGATTAGGATCCTGAAGCACATAAAAGTTAAGTAATTTGGCCAAAGTCATACACCTCAAAAGTGGTAAAGCTGAGATTTGAAGAGGACTATTTCATATATCAGTGAATGAATGTATGAAAAGCTCTTAAGCTTGCCTGACACACACTTAGTGCCTTACTCTGCATTGACACTTACATGACACTGAGCTGTTGAGTGTCCTTCATAAACTGAAATTGTTGCAGATCTAGCAGGAGTCACTTTTATCTTTGCCAGACCCTGCCCACACTGGACTGGGCCCTCCCAGAGCACTTACTGTTGGCATGATTCACTGGGCACGTGACATCTCATCTGCACTCCAGTGAGAGCTGCATGGTAGTCTCCTCTGTGCACTCTATCTCCCCAGCCAGGATGCCAGATCCTCATAAGCAGGACCGTGGCCTCCATATCCTCTATCCTCTCTCTCCCCCTATAGCCCTGGCACCTGGCTGGCAGCCTGGAGCAGTATTTGCTGACTTCAGCAGCTCTGGCGAGGAGCGGCATGGGGAAGTAAGGAGAAACCCTTTGTGTCCCTGGCTCTCAGGAAGAACAACAGTTGTTAGGAAGACCGTAACAACAGGAACTAGCACAGCGGACTAAAGACGCAGGAGAGGAATGTTGCCGGGAAACATCGCTGTGCTCCAGTAGGAGGACCCTAGATCCGAGAGACCTGGTTCTGCCACCAAGTCCTGGCTGTGCAACCCTAGTAAGTTGCTAATACTGAGCCTCAGTTCCCTCATCTCTAAAATGAGGACAGTAGGACCCCTCTTCTATTAAGGATGGAGAGCTATGTGAGGCAGTACCTAACCCAGTGGCTGGCACCAGCACCCCAGATGCATGCATTTTGGATTGTACCAGGCCCTCCCAGTCTCCCTCCCCATGCTGAGAGCAGCCCGACGGACTCACACTGCCTGGTGAGGGAGATGCACTCCTCTTTAGACCACATCCCCTTGTTAGTTCGGGAACTGATAGATGGTTTCACCTTGATGCAGAACTCTCCCACCTCTCCAGAGGTTTGGAGGCTGAAGTTTTCATGTTTTAATTTCTCGTGTGTGAACTGAAACAAAAATGATAGCAATGAACAAAATTCTCTTATTTCATGGCACGCAGACACTGAGAGCTGTTGGGCCTTCAGAGGTGATTTCAGCCAACCTCCTTCAGCAGCCTTTGTCTAAGATAACAACCCCCACCTTTACGAATGCAGCACATGATCTCTGTAATTACCATGATTTTATTTTGCATTTTAAAAGTAAATGGGGTGTTTTATAGATGCTGAAGATCTTCCCAGAAGGGGCTGGAATCAACTCTGGTGGAGAGGACAGAGAGTGGATTTTGCAGACGCCAAGCTCTCCCGTAACAGGGGCATCCTCTGGTGGGTTACATAGCCTCTCAGAGCCTTATGGCTTCATCTAGAAAGGCTCTGGGGTGCCCAAGACCTAGTAGGCAATTCCTTTGAGGAGCATCTTACAGGAGCATAGCTCTGAGGGCCGAGGACATTTCTACTCCCTCCTCTGCTCACCCACCATCCCAGACCCTCCCTCTAGTCCATAAGCAAAGCTCCCAATGGCACACGAGGGTGCTTCCAGCCCCGGGGACAGGGAAGCCAAGGGGTCTCTGGTCCTGGGGCCTTGGGGAACCCCATACCGTAAAGTTTTCCGGCACCTTGCGAATGGCAATCTCATACTCTCGGAAGTGACTGAAGATGCTTTCATATGTGACACCTGCAGGGGCCATCTTGGGCCTCGGGGGCTGAATCCTCCCAAGGATGAGGCCATTGTGGATCTCTAGCTTCACACTGCCAACTGTCAGAGTCACTAAGGAGGGTGGAGGTGGGGAAAAACCATGAGGCCTGAGGGCTGAGGAGGGCCTTGGTGTCCCCCAAGACCTTCCCTCCAGAGTTGCGCTTAATTAAAACCTAGGCCTAAAACCCAGGCCACAGGTTTGCCAATGTAGCAGAATGTAAGGGCTTCTTGGGGAGCACATTAAAAATACATATACCCTAAAATCAGATGCGTCAACCAATGGACTATCATAGAAAGCCCAGAAATAAACCCACAGTTGATTTTCAACAAAGGGGCCAAGAACACACAATGGGAAAAGGGCAGTCTCTTCAATAAACGGCATTGGGAAAACTGTATATTCACAAACAGAACAATGAAAATAAATTTTTATCTCACCCCTGACACAAGAATCAACTCAAAATGGACTGAAAACAAATGTAACACCTGAAACTATAAAAACCGTTAGAAGAAAACCTAGGCAAAGTTCTAAGACATCGGTCTGGGCTAAGATTTCTTGGATATGATTCCTAAAGCACAGGCAACAAGAGCAAAAATAGACAAATGGAATTGCATCACAATAAAAAGCTGCTTCTGCACAGCAAAGAAAACAGTTGCTAGAGTGAAGAGACAATCTAGGAATGGGTAGAAAACTATTTACAAATCGTACATTGACTAAGACGTTAATAGCCTGTATTCAAATATATGCAAGGAACTCATCCTACTCAGTAACAAGAAAACAAATAAACCTGTTTTTAAAATGGGCAAATGACTTGAATAGACATTTAAAAGAAGACATACAAATGACCAACAGATATATGAAAACATGGTCAACATCTCTAATTATCAGAGAAGTGTAAACTAGAACCACAATGAGCTACCACTTCACACCTGTTAGTTGGCTATTATCAAAAAGATAGAAGTGACAAGCGTTGGCAAGGATGTGGTGAAAAGGGAAACCCTACATACGGCTGGTGGTGAATTTCTCAGCCATATGGAAAACAGCATGGATGTTCCTTAAAAATCTAAAAATGGAACTACCATGTGATCCAGCAATTCCCACTACTGGGCATATATCGAAAGATTTTGAAATTAGTATATTGAAGAGATATCTGCATCCGCCATTCACTGCAGCATTATTCACAACAGCCAAGATATGGAAATGCCCACCAACAGATGAATGGGTTTTTAAAAGGTGGTATATGTATATACCACAGAATCCCATTCAGTCTTACAAAATAGGAAACTGAGGCCAGGAGTGGTGGCTCATGCCTGTAATCCCAACACTTTGGGAGGCTGAGGCAGGTGGATCATTTGCGGTCAGGAGTCTGAGACCAGCCTGGCCACATGGTAAAACCCCATCTCCATTAAAAATACAAAAGTCAGCTGTGAATCCTGGTGCATGCCTGTAATCCCAGCTTGGGGATTACTTGGGGGGGGGGGGGCGCGCTGAGGCAGAAGAAGCTCGAACTTGGGAGGTAGAGGTTGCAGTGAGCCAAGATCATGCCATTGGACTCCAGCCTGGGTGAGATCATGAGTGAAATAAGTGCAGAGAGATAAATACCATAAGATCTCACTTAAGTGTAGACTCCAAATAGAATTCTTTTAGAATTCAATTCATAGAAGTGGAAAGTAGAAGGGGTTACCAGAGGCTGGAGGAGGCAGGCCGGAGCAGTGGGTAGGGAACAAGGAGACGAGTACCAAGTTACAGTGAGACAGGAGGAATCAGTTCTGCTGCCTATTGCACAGCAAGGTGACTATAGTAACAACAGATGGACTGTGTATTTCAAAATAGCTAAAAGATAGTATTTTAAATATTTTTGCCACAAAGAAATGCTAAATATTCGAGGTGACAGATATTCTAATTACCCTGATTTGATCATTCCACAATGTGTACACGTATTGCAACATCACATTGTGCCACATAAACATGAAGAATTATCAAAACATTTTGTTTAAAATGTTTTCAACATTTTATAAAACTTTACTGTTTTGTTGTTGTTTTTTTGAGATGGAGTCTTGCCCTGTTGCCCAGACTGGAATGTAGTGGCTTGATCTTGGCTCACTGCAACCTCTGCCTCCCGGGTTCAAATGATTCTCCCACTTCAGCCGCCCTGAGTAGCTGGGAATACAGATGCACTCCACCACGCCTGGCTAATTTTTGTATTTTTAGTAGAGATGTGGTTTCACCTTGTCAGCCAGGCTGGTCTCGAACTCCTGACCTCAGGTGATCCGTCTGCCTTGGCCTCCCAAAGTGCTGGGATTATAGGAGTGAGCCACCGCACCCGGCTCAACACTTTACTGTTAAGCATAGTATTTATGGTAGGTATGTGTAGATAGATAACTTTCTGTATGTTAGGATGTTTTCTTTCTATTTTAACTTAGTTTCTTTTTAAATGAAGATTTCTTTTTTACATAGTTATATGATAAATTGCATTGATAATATTTTTATATAGAAATTTCCAATAGACACAAAAGTAGAAGAAAATATAATGATTTCCAAAGCCCCAGTTTTGGTAATTGTAAACACTAGGCCAATTTTAAAGTAATTGGTGGTAGGGGAGGGTCATCAATATCCCCCCATGAATTTACTTTAGCATTTTAAAGAAAATCTAAGCACTGTATTACTTAATTCTTGATTACTTAAGTATGTACCTCTCACATATCACAACTTTGTAAACATAACTACCATGCTATTATCACATGTAACAAACAAATACCTAGAAATATGTCCAAAACATGATTTCATATACAAATATGGTGATTTCCTCAATAATGTCTTTTTGTAATTGTCTTGCTCAAATCAAAATACAAAGAAGAAACAAACTTTAAAAAAAAAAATACAGATGCCTTGGACCCACTCAAGACACAGTCTGAATTTCTGAGGCTGGGCCTTGGAAATAGATATTTTAAACACACTTGCTGGGAAGTGTTTCCATACCAGCTCAGCAGTGGCCTGTGGGCAGGCATTTGGAAGCCAACAACCTCCTAGACCATTGGCTCTAACTCTGAATCTACAGAGCAAGATCTCCAAGCACACGAAACTTTCTCAATCCCAACTGTTGGAATGAAAAATCCCATTGAGCTGGGGGCTTATCCTTTCCTCTGACCTCTCCAGAGAGGAATACCTAACTTCTCTTTACTAGCACTTCCCATTTCAAAGGGATGACCCCCTAGGTGATCACTCCTAAAGAAGCGGGGACCTCACCCAAATTCTGCCTACTGCTTGCTGCCCTATGCTGAGTGTTCATGGATTTGCTTCCTCTCCCTGAACCCTCCCTGAAAAAAACAAGTTCACAGGCCTGGCTCTCGTGACTCAGCTGCCCCAACCCACCCCAAGACCTCTCTCTGTAGGATAAACAACTCCAGTTCCCTTTTAAATCTCCAACAACTTGGGCTAATTTTATCTAACCTCCTCCAAAGTTCCACCCTGTTTGGGCAACTAGTTCTCTGGCCAGGGAGCCTGGCTGCCATGGTGAGCTATGGGAATAGACAGAAAAGCTCTAGACTAGAGTTCCTGGCTGGAAGAGACCCCAGTGCCATGTTCTAGGTCTAGGTCAAGGGAGGAAAAGCACCTTCATCCACGGAGAAGCGGGTGTTGGTCACGGTCCAGTTGGAGTGCTGGGTGCTGTTCACAGCCCGCACTCTGGCCCGGTAGCCACTGCTGTGGTACAGGTCCAGGGTCACCGCGGTGAGGTCACAGGACAGCATCAGGGTCTGTCCGCAAGTGGGGATGAGCTTCCAGTGCTCTATTCCATACCTGAGGAGATACCAGGGTAGGCACTGGAGAGGAGCTTGTACTCAATCCTACCTCCTTTAAGGGAGACGCAAGAGGCCAGGAAGAGAGCGCCCACAGCGGGAGAAACTGGGACAGCGCTCAGGGTATATCCTCTAGTCCACAGCAGCTCATTGTGAGGGGTCTCCCTTGGCCCTGGCACCCTGTGCCAATTTCCGTGTGGTCTAGAAGATTCTTAGATGGGAATATGAGTAGTCCCAGCACTTTCAGAAAGCCTTGCTAGCTCCTGCGGCGCAGCCCCGTCTCTGCCTTCTCCCCGCTGTGTTTGCAGTCATTAGGGTTCCCCTGTTCTGGCTATACTATGGATGCTTCTCCTGCTAAGATGGAAAGCCTTGGGGGCTGGGCGCGGTGGCTCACACCTGTAATCCCAGCACTTTGGGAGGCTGAGGCGGGCGGATCACTTGAGGTCAGGAGTTTGAGACTAGTTTGGCCAACACGGTGAAACCCCATCTCGACTGAAAATGCAAACGTATAGCCGGGAGTGGTGGTGGGCCCCTGTAATCTCAACTACTTGGGAGGCTAAGGTGGGAGAATTGCTTGAACCCAGGAGGAAGAGGCTGCAGTGAGCTGAGGTCGCACCACTGCGCTCCAGCCTGGGAGACAGAGCGAGAAGCTGTCTCAAACAAAACAAACAAACAAACAAACAAAACAACAAAAAAGAAAAGCCTTGGAGCAAAGGCTTTTTTTTTTACTCTGGAGTGATCAAAGTCTCCGACCTTCTCACCCAGAACTCCGGGCACATTGCTCAGTACAGGAGTCTTAATCAGTACTTATCAACTGCCGGCTATGTGTTAGGGGCCCTCAGGCACTCAGTGAGTTCTGAGGCACTCACTTCATTAACAAGGCAGGTATTTTCCCATGCTAGAGAAGTAGGGGATAAGGTGGGAATTCACTCCTTGCTCCCCCTCCCTCCTCCCTTTTCCTCACCTCAGGAGTTCCACTTCATAGAAGGTACTTTCGGACTGATTTGGGATGGGAGTCCAGTGGAGGATGTGGTGGAAAAATTCTGCTTCAAACCACACAGACGGAGGGCTGGGCAGTTCTGTCCCTGGGGAGAAGAGTGTCAGTTCCACAGCTGGGAGGGCCCACCCCTCAGAGTGGCTATGAGTTGCATGAGGCCAGTGGAGCCAGTAAGGGGCAGAGTAAAAACATGAATTCAGATGTGTCTGATTCTAGAGCTAGCATGTGTCCCTAAAGCATTGCCCTGTGCTGTCTGTGATCAGAAGCTGCAGTGGTGGCTGAGAAGAGCCAAGCTGAGCCTGATGCCTCCCAGGGAAGAAGGCAGGGGCGGAGGGCTAAGCAAGTCGGCAATGAGCTCTCAGATGTGTTAGTCCCTGGCTCTGCCCGATCCGTCCCTGCTCTAGCACTATTCCTAGGCTTGGCCCCATCTCCACGCCTGGTCCCCACCCCGGCTTGGCCCAGGCTCCGGCTCAAAGCTACCTCGCTAAGTACACAGACAGCTGGCTTGCTGATATCTGTCTGCTTCTTTTCATAGTTCTGGGTTCCCCAAGCTAAGTGCTTGCCTCATTTCCTAGTTTCTAAAAGGGTTTTGCCTATAGCAGATGCTCAACCTCTGGCTGGGCAAGAGAGAATAAATCACCTCTGGTTCTAGACATGGCTGAGGGCATCCCCACAAGAGCTGGCACCCATGGCTCCAAGGCAAGATACTCAATACCAATTCCTAGCTTCACTCTCCCTTTACCCCCAGTACACACCATTCACCATGGGAAACACTGTTGAACCTATTGTCTTCTTTGTAAGAATGCAACAAATATTTCTACTTTGAGTCTTGCTGATCAAGCAGACTAAAGTATGAGCAGGGCCAATGGCTGATTGGTCCCCCTTCTCTCTTCCCTGATTCCATAAGGTCTCTCCATTTGACAGCGACTCTGCTCCTGCTCCCTAGTTTTCTAACTTCTCTTCATCCCTCTAATCATGAACCTGTTCTTTTTTTTCTGACTCTGTCATCTATCTCTTGCTTGCTTTCTTATGCTGTCTTTGATCTTGCCGTCAGTGCCTTGATTTCAAAACTTCAGACGGAAAGTGAAAAATGCAGCAAGTCTTTGTGGCGTTTGAGCTTAGCTCTCGATCACGTGAATGGCTGACTGCATGTTTTACTTTGTATTTTGATGTCATGAAGAAGCAGTTTCGGTCCTTGCTTTCTCTGTCTCTGCTCTTGGTCCCTCCAACTCTGGGCTCTTTCATTCTCTCTCTGGGGTTTACTTTTCTTAGTTGCAGAAACTTTGCCGGAGAACTGGCTGCATTAGGAGCCTGAACTTTTATGGGCACAGTATGGGGAGTGCATGCTGAGCTGGGGGCTACAGGTGGAGCAGGGGGGATCGGATGGGGGTGATCAGTGAGGGATGAAAGTGAGATGGGAAAAGGACAGAAAGAGGTTAGTTGAAAGGCCAAGAGAAGGGAGAGTCGGGAGATCAAAACTTTTCCCCAACGGGACAAGAAGTCCCATCATTTGAACCTAACTAGCAAAAAATCTAGGGCTAAACTTATGGCTCATCGAGAAGTGGGAGGATGGTGAGGTTTGCGGGGTGGGGGTTTGGCCTTGCACATACTTCTCTATCCTTCCCATCTCCGTCAGCTCCCGTCAGTCTCAGCCTCTCCCACTTCCACAACAGGTGAGCCTGAGATTCAGTCTTGCCAGAGTAAGGGAGCCCGGCCGGGCACCCCTCTCCCCAGAGTGCCGGGCACCCCTCTCCCCAGAGTGTCGGGCACCTCTCTCCCCATAGGGCCAGCCGGCCAGGGTTCTCCACTGAATGGAGAATTTTAACGGAGCGGGCGCGGAGAGGGCAGGGCAGGGCAGGGTCGCGTCCCGGAGCCTTACCGTGAGCGTCCGAGCCTGGGCGGAGGCTGAGGAGCGCCGCCAGCAGCACAGCGAGGCGCGGCAGCATCCTAGGCGCGCGGCATCGTCCGGGGACGGAGCGGAGCCGGCCTGCGCGCCTCCAGCGACCCCTGGGCGGGGACTGACAGCTTCGCCGCTCGTTCCGCCAGCGCCCCGGGGCTGACGTCAGCGGGGCGGGGCCTACAGACGTCCCGCCCCCGAGGCCGCGAAACTTGGAACTCTTTTAGCGCAGAGCACCCTCCTGCGACGAACGCGCAAGTGTCCCGAGGCGGAAGCGGGCTACGGCCATCCCTCCCTCCTTCCCTCCCTCCCTCCCTTCCCCCTCGAGCGCCAGTGCCCTCAGGCCGAAGGTCCGGCCAGCCGTTCCGGCCGTGTGTGTGTGCGTGCGCGCGCGTGTGCATGTGCTGGGGAGCACAGGTGGCCAGGCACACCCTCGCCCCTGAGTGTGGAAGGTGAGGTGAGGGCATCCGGGCCGCTTTTGCCTGGCGTGCCGGCTTGGCGTTGAAGATGTGGCCGCGGCCGCTCAGGAGGTCGTTGCAGACGCTTGAGGGCAGGGCCCGAGGACGCGGGTCTGAGTATTGCTTGGCGTTGACCCAGGGCCTCGGCGTCGGGGGTCTGAGGACACCGATGGTTGAATACGGAGTAGTCCCTCCTAATTGTTGGAGGGGGGTCCACGACTAAGCAGTTTATGCAGACCTGCCCCCAAAGTCCCAGGAAGCTGAGGCCCAAGAAACAGGCTTGTAACCAGCAGCTTAGCAGCTGAGCCCCAAACCGCGACTTTTAATTTTAATTTTTATTTTTTTGACGACTGAGTCTCGCTTATTGCCCAGGCTGGAGTGCAGTGGCGCAATCTCAGCTCAGTGCACCCTCAGCCTCCCGGGTTCAAGTGATTCTCCTGCCTCAGCCTCCCGAGTAGCTGGGACTACAGGCGTACGCCCCCACGCCCGGCTAATTTTTGTCTTTTTAGTAGAGACTGGGTTTCACTATGTGGTTCAGGCTGGTCTCGAACTCCTGACCTCAGGTGATCCACCTGCCTTGGCCTCCCAAAGTGCTGGGATTACAGGGGTGCGGCCGGCCTCAAACTGTGTTTTAAATTTATTTTTTCTTCTTTTCTTTTTCCTCTCCTCGCTCTGGATGTCAAGATAAAACTTTGAAACAAACTGCCTGTATATAATCTCTCATCTTAAACTACAGCCTCAGGATGTGCTGTGAACCTCCTCTCTCTTTCCTTTCCCGTACTGTACTCCCGTGCCTTATGCATGTTTATTTACTTATGTGCTTGTTAAGCACACGCTGTGCTCTTATCTGGTCATATATTTCCTTAGATGCCTCAGGAGCTGCATCCTGATAGGGACCAGACACCACTGGAATTCTCTCTCTGATAAAAGCTTACTTGAGGAATTGAACCTATACCCAGCTGAAGACTAATTTATAACCTGGCAGGATCCACGATTGCACCAGCCCCTCCACCAAATAAGACAATAATTCAAGAGGACCACCAGAGCAAGTCACTCCACCTGGCACCTCCTAACCTCCCCCTTGCCTTTTCTGCATTTCAGATCCTTTCCTTAAAACTCCCTGGGTTCCCCCTACGAATTGAAGAGTGGAATTGTTTGCTGCCCTTCCCCTGCTAGCATGGGAGCGAGCAGATCTTTCTTTATTATCTGTTCTTTCTACAAGCCACAAGCAGCCAGATGCTTTTGCAGGTTACAGGCTGACACATCCAGTTCCTTAGAAAAAAACATTTAATAAGGGCTTACAAACAGAAACCACATCTGTGTCTCCCAGTGGTTTCCCATGCTTCTCCCTCAGGCCCAGAGCTTACAGACCATAGGGGAGGGTCATTCAGAAGGGGTGTGCAGGGCAGTTGAAGTATGATAACATCAAGGTTGTTTGACCTAAGGGCCAGATTTACAGTAAGTGCTTGCTCTCACACAAGGAGCAATAGATAACTTGGGAATCTCAGGGGCCTTCCGGGAGGCTCAGAAGCCAACATAGCTGAAACGGTGGATTTGCATCCAACATGGAGTTGCTTTAGCCTCCACAAGGACTTCTCCTAGCCTCTTTTGGGGCCCCTCGCTTGCTTGAAATCTGATGTTCAGACCAATTTTTGTATTGGGTAATAGCACTACCAGAGTACTGGGTAACACCTCAGCACATCCTCAATCTCTCACACCTCTGTGTCACTTGGCTCATCTGAGGCCATTTCCAGGTGGAGCAAAGATGAGAGGATATGGGAAACAGACTGTCCATCGCTTTTTCTTGGAGACGGACACCTGCTTCAAAGTGTGTGTGTCTGTGTGTGTGCACTTGCAGTCACATATGATTTGCAGTGGCCAGTCTGTGGATTTGGATTTCATTGTGCTGTTGAGCATGTGTCTGTGAGTCTGTTTGCCAGGTGCCTATGTGTGCTTGGGACGGTGTGGGCATCCCTGGAGCCTTGTCCTTGTTCTTGGAGAAACCAAAGAAGAGGGGCTCACCACATTTCTGGCGGGCAACACCCCCCTCCAGGCCTGCTACCCCATCCACCCGGCCACACCCCACCCTGTCTGTATTGTAGTTTGTACTTTCATTTGGTGGTTCCTGTTCCTGTGCTCTTGTCCAGTGTTCAAGAAGAATGAGGATTCGCTGACAGTTGAAGGGTGAGGATGGGTGGAGAATTGAATGACGGAACAGCTCTAAGCAGAGAGGGGATGGGGAGGGGACTGGTCCCCCACCCCTGCAGTTGGTTGGTTTTTTTTCTCAGTATGGCTGGGTCCAGGGCTTTTTATGGACTCAGTATGGAGAGTGCGTGCTTATTGGTTTGTGAGTGTGCAAAAAAGGTTAAAGCAAAGACACCAGTCAAAGGTAGGCATGACAGTGTAGAAAACCTATTAGGAAAGAGTAGGTGTATGTAAAATAGATGAAGAGTAGGGATCAATCAGAGGAAAGCATGCCAAATAAGAAGACAGGTTCTCAATCTAGTCTGAGGATTTAACTTGTAGCTCAATTTTTAGGTTTTAAATTGTATTCACCTTGGAGATGGACTTTCACCAGGGACATGCCCTATCTGCCTAGGCATTTGACTGCCTCCTATAACTATCACCTGCTCCTGGGAGGTTTCTCTGGCAGTGCCCAATGCCCACATGGAGGGGCTTATTCACAGCAGCTTTTGAGAAAGGGCTCCTAACCTGTGTGTGACTTCAGAACTGTGTGTAGTCTACGAGTTAGTGAGGCATTATTCCCATGGTTTGTAGAGATATAAGCCCTATTTCAATATTTTCAGAGTAGAAATCTCTCTTCCCAGTTGCCTGGCCTGAGAGTGTGCCAGGTTGGCTGGAGGTGGGAGTTGGGAGATCCCATCCTGTATCTAAGATTCCTCATTGAGACTAGAAAGACCTCACTGTTGATAGTTAGTGAAGGCAGGGGTACCCCAGCTACATGGGTAGGGGAAAGTGGTATCTGCAGGCCTACCAGGACACTTGATCAGCCAGGGTCACCCTCAGAGAACAGCTTCTGTTGCCACACCCCCAGACAAATGGGGAGGGCAAGCCCCAGGCTTTTTTAGTATGTGAAGATGTTTCATATACTCTCTGTTGCTCAAGTGAGAAATTAAGATGGTAAATTGCTGACATGACCCAAGGGGTATGGCTGCCTTCTGAAACAACTGCTTAGTTACCCCTGACCTTTTAAAAGAGACAGTGTGATGTTTCTTCCTGAACTTGTCTTTTTTTTTTTTTTTTTGAAACGGAGTCTCACACTATTGCCCAGGCTGGAGTGCAGTGGCACAATCTCGGCTCACTGCAACCTCCACCTCTCAGATTCAAGTGATACTCTGCATCAACCTTGCAAGTAGCTAGGATTGCAAGTGCCCACCACCACACATGGTGAAATATTTGTATTTTTAGGAGATACAGGGTTTTGCTGTGTTGTCCAGGCTGGTCTTGAACGCCTGACCTCAAGTGATCTGCCTGCCTTGGCCTCCCAAAGTGTTGGAATTACAGGCATGAGCCACTGTGCATGGTCAGTTCCTGAACCTGTCTTTTTTATTTTTTTGATGTAAAAGAGTTTTAAAGTCTTACACGTTACCATTTTGAAGGAGGATCAAAATTTTAATTCATTCATATGACAATATTTACTGCACACTCGTTGTGGGCCAGATGCTGTGCTGATGCTAGGAACAAAATGGTGATCAAAACCATGTCCCTTCCCCCAGGAAGCAATCTAGCTAGAGACAGAAAGTGAACAGAAATTTTAACATGCCATGGTAAGTGCTCTGGGAAGGCAAGTACAGGCCAATGTGAGGACAAAAGACATGGGCATTCAACCACACTTGGGGTAGAGGAGAAGGAAAGCTTCCTGAAGGAGGTGACAGCTAAGTCAAGACTTGAGGGAGGAGTAGGAGGTAGCTAATGAAGAGTGGATAGGGAGGGTTTTCCAGACAGAAGGAAATGGATACTTGGAAATGAGGGAATATGACATTTTTTAAGAACCCTGGAATGTGGGTAAACTGGAATTCTTGTTTTAAGACGAGAAAACCACAATGGCTAACATAGGTTAATACCTTGCTCAGGGCAGAGCCAGGATTGGAATGCAGGCTATTCTAGTGTATCCTGCTGCCTCATGGAGAGCACCCAGAATAGGAGTAATGTTAGGTATGTGATTACTATACTTTAAAAGGAAGAAAAATAAACACGGAATTCACATGTCTGTTTTGTTGTGTACACTGTTCTGGAAAGTCCACACTAAGGTTCTGTGAATTCTAGTATTCATGCCAGTAGAGAGACTTAGGAAGCAATTTTTATAGCATCTGCTCTTTTAAAAATTTTTTTTTCATTTTTATTTATTGATTGATTGATTGAGACAAGGTTTTACTCTATCACCCAGGCTGGAGTGCAGTGGCATGATCTTGGCTCACTGCAGCCTCCACCTCTCAGCCTCAAGTGATCCTCCCACCTCAGCCTCTTGAGTAGCTGGGACTACAGCTGCAGGCCACCATGCCCGGCTAATTTTTTTTTTATTGTTTTATTTTTATTATTGTTTTCTTTTTTGCAGTCGCCCACTACCACAAATTATGCAGTTGAGTTTGCCACATTTTGGGAAATCGCAGGAGTCAGCACATCTGGAGTGCAATAGATAAGCCTCGCCCTGAGAAAACCACCTTTGTGGTGGTTTTCTCCCC